TACCGCCGTATAAAGCAACCGAGATGTCCTTATTTTTGTGGAGAAGAGACGGTCAGTGGGTCAAGATACGAGAACGTAGAGGTGCCCCACGTCTCGAGACTGCAGGTTTTAGGAAGAACTAAAATCTTCATATAAAAGAATAATAACAAAAGGGTTCAGCAGGGTCAAGTGATGCATTGCAGCAGTGCATCATGGGATATACACTTAGATCTAATATCATTAAGTTGTAAGTGCAGCACCCCTGAGACAGTCTGAGGACTCTCCCCCCCCGTTGTCTAACCTGGTGTCACTTCACGTTCTCACTCGTCTCTTCAGAACGCCGTCGCCCGAGGGCCGCAGACCTCAGCCTGAGCGCACACGGCCGCGAACGCTGCGATTAGAATAGTGAATGAGGTCAGTAGCAGAGCACACCTGACCTTCCTGCAGCTCAGGCTTGTGTAACAACGCGGTACCGTCGTGTTATATAATGTGAAATGACTTACCGCAGTTATTACAGCGGTCCACCAGGGCCACAGAGGACTGATATTTTCTGCTGGCCTTAATTTCCTCTGTGATGTATGTTTGTGGCCGCTGGCGTTATGACCAAAGAGTCACCTGGAACACCGACACAGAAGGTTAGTGTACAGGAAAACAGAAACATTTCCCGACGCTTCCCTGCCATAGAGGAAATATTCTACTGATGCGTGTTTTCACCATAAGGAGATGGTGACGCACTCGTGGAGTAGTTAGCACTCTGGACTAGAGTTGCAATATTCCAGGGATTTTCAAAGTTGGGAACTTTCCACGGGAATTTACGAGAATAAATCTGAAAACTGAAGGTTGGCTCTAAACGGGGAACTTAAATATAGTTGGGGAAAATATATTAAAGCGTAATCTTGGCTAAAACAACCAGATTTAATGCAGGTGCACTCCTCAATCACATGCACAGATGATTTCTTGAACCCTGGAGGCCAAAACATTTGAGCCCAGAGCACAAGACATTTGAGCACACGGACGAGATAAAGTCAAGTAAGTTTTGATAATATTATGGGGTAAATATATTTGATCTTTCAATATTTAACTTTCAAATATCAAATTAAAAAGGTGCTAAATGTAAGTTATTTTTAATTTCATTGACTATTTAAGGGGCTAGCTTATTATGTTGGTGGTAGCTTCCTCAAATGTGATGCTGTTTCTTCCAACTCCTGCAAGACGGTTTTCTGTAACCAAACAATCATTTATACGTCAAACATTTAATTTTTTATTCTACCAATAAATGCCACGTTCGCCGTCGTCATCGCCACTCAAATAAATCTGTTGAAATGTTTTTTAATTGTATTTTTTTGCATGGATGTCTGCTTATGACAAATCAAAAATATTTAAATTTATGTTTGGATATGATGTAGTTTGTTTAAATTACTCCCAATTTCCAGTGAGTTCCCATAAATTTGCAATAAATTCCAAAATTCCCCAGCTTAACTTCCCATTGAAACTTTCTGGAAATTTACCGGAAATTTTTCACCCTTTTGCAACTCTACTCCGGACAGGTGCAGGTGAAGAAGGGTGGCGGTGTGACTCAGCAAAAAAACATGATTTTCTGAGACTTTTGTGCAAATAGCCAAAGAAATGCTGATAAAAATCAAATGTGACACTTTAGAATAAAATGATTTTTTATTTAAGAAAACTTAAAATTTTGACTTTCTATTGACGCCTTCATTAAAAACCACATTGCCTTTCCGCTGGGGTGCCTCAGGGGTCAGTTCTCGGTCCTTTTCGTTTCTTGACTTTCAGCGCAGTGATCTGGTTTCTTTGATTCTCATTTAACCGTTATGCAGATGATACCTCGCTCTTTATGTCAGCTCATCCAGATGACCCAACTGTCTCAGCCCAAATCCCATCATGCCTCAGTGATATTTTTGAATGGAGGAAGGATCTCAATCTAGATTTGTTTATATTTGCTGACTGGAGTGACTGTAAAATGGACAACAAGTCGGATCTCTGATGATTTCACATCTTTTTCATATAAATCTCAGCAAAGAGGCGAATCCCTCGAACAGCCCAAAGCCGGGAACACGTCAGGCTCAAAAATCCGTTAAAGAAAAGCTTAATTTGGAGTGAGGAAAGCGGGGGGAGGGTGGACGGGCCGACTTCAAGGCTGTTTCGGCTTCTCCATTCAGTCCTGTTGGCAGCTAACAGGCTGGAGTAATTGGGACGTGGATAAGACAGTGATCAAACGAAACCTTCACACCTCCATCACACTTAATGAAAGCTCAACAAGCAAACACAGAAGTGCCAGAGCTTTGTAGTCCCTCGCCTGTGTGAGCGTCTGTGTTTGCAGGAGTATCTTCTGAGTGGGTGTATGTGTGGCTGCAAAGCCTCCCTGATTGCTTGTGTTATTTTTAAGGCAATTATTTTGGTTTCTGGCCTCGTCAGTCAATCTGGCATTATCCCGACTGACACGCAGCACATTCAGATAAGTCGTCTAATGGCGCTGATATAATAAGTCAACACTGAGACAAATTTTCAGACTTCTGCCTGTGTGTGTTTGCACAGTCTTTCCGCGGCTACATAATACCTCTAGGGTATTGAATTCAATTATCTACAAAATTATGGAGGAAAACAAAATTCGTAATGTGTGAATTTCATGGAAAAGTAATTATTTTTGTCTCTGGGGAGTTGAGACAAAGAACAGCTTCCTCTAACACTGTTACTGCCGCCGTGCCTATCTGTGTTTGTGTCAGGAGAGATTGCCAGGAGATGTAGGAAATGGGGTTGAAAACGATGTTGACAGTGGATTATCCCGGCCCCAGTTTGTGTCTGTCATGTAATCATTGTTTTGTAACAACAGATTTTTAAGCCCCTCCAGCTCCAGCTGTTTTTGTTTCCAGAGCACATTTACTGTATGGATAAGTCTCAACCCTCTCATCAGCGTTTCCAGATCTATCCGTCACCAAATCAAGTCATTTCCGAGTTTAGAAACGCCATTGGGTACAATATTAAAACCTTGAAGGGTACTTTAATACTGATGGAAACCAGAGATGCTAAAGTTACCTGAAAACCAACCCAGCCAGATCTTTGAGAGTCCCCCAAACAGACCTTTGAAATGATACTGAGTGGTACCAAAAACATGCATCTGCTTTAGTGTTAGAAAGGGAAAGGTGGACTTTTCTAACTTTAATGCCTGAAACAGATCCAATAGGGAACCGAAGTCATGCTAACTTCCGGGTTAGCATACGGTCCTATGGAGCCCATCAAAATGAATGGACAGATATATATAACTACTGGTCCGCTTTGGTATAGGGAACCGAAGCCCCTACACATTTCACATATAATGTTTATCATGTTTAAATTTACATTTTAACCTCGAAAAAGCCGTGATTTTAGACATGTTGCTATAACTACAGTTTAATTTAGAGTGAGACCACGTAATGAACTACACCGCTCGTCGCACTATTTTTGCGTCACTGTCTAAGCTTTGACAGACGACGATGGCGGTGAAACGGCGAAAGGAACATCCTGCTGAACTATTATGGTGACATTCTGGCACAAAACACACAGGCATTTTGGCAATGATAACGAGTTGACAGGAGTTGTCAGCTAGCTAGAAGTAGAAATACTGACGTGACGTCATTTACGCGACTTCTTGAGGTCTGTAGTCTCTCCATTTACGTGTTTTCAAAGACAAATAGATCAGCAATTACACAACAAACATAGCCTTTATTTACCTTAATGGTTATCATTTAAGTTAAAATACAACATATTTGTGACTCAGGGTGTAAAACAAAGCGGACCAGAAAATACCATAGACCTGTCCATTCACTCCTATTATCCCAATAGGACCTATAGCGCTAACGCGGAAGTGGGCGTGGCTTCGGTTCCCTATAGAATAGGAAAGAGTCAGTATAAACAACTTAGATGGTGCTTAGTGGTATTTATCTCACCATATCAGGGAATTAAATGACAAAAGCTGAAAAAGGGTACCTTGAAACAGGCCAAACATATATTGAAAAAGGGGAACCTTGAAAAAATAAAACAAGTGAAGCTTACAAAAACACTTTTAAAAGATGCTTTAATGAGACCAAACCACAGGTCCAAAAGAGAAACCTTCATACTGCTGACAAAGGTTTCCCAGAAACATCCCTAATCAGGAAATAAAGAGAAATAAACGTCAGCGACAAAACTGACCTCAAAACTGACCCGACCTCCTGTTCAAAGGGCAAAAATATCTAATGTAACGGAGAAGTACTAGACCTTAGAAGAAGTTCAGAAGTCATTACATACCTGACCACATACTGAAGGGAATAAAATAAGACTGTAAAAAGACGCTGGAAAAGAACCTCCAAACTGATAAAACGAGAGGAAACTTAAGAAATACGACCGAAGGTGAGACGTAAGAATAAAGCTGATCAGAAGTTTGAAAAAGACCTCGAACAGATGCTCAACAGAACCTTAAAACCACCAGACCTGATCTGAGAGACCAAACCTGACCAAATGTTGAAAGTTTCAAAAAGTCACTTGAACTTTTAAGAGATGTTTACAACTGAAAACATACTCGGCTGCATGTCAAGAAGAAGATTTTTGATCAAACTGCAAAAACCTTGACTCCATCAGAGAGTGTCGGGAGGACGGGCACAGCATTTTGTCGTTGTTTCCCTTTCTACCACCTTCCTTTCTCCATTTTCGTGAAAATTGACCGTCGACTGTCAGAACTTTAACATTTATTCAGCAAACTAAACAGCTTGATTCAGCCTTGGCTGTCTATTTAATAAACTCCGATTAAAACGAAGTTTAGAGAAGTTAATGACTCGTTGAGCTGGTGGAGTTACTGGAAATATCTCCGTACAAAATAAAAGATGTTTTCAGATATTAAAGATAACACGCTGCGGGGTTAACTTTGACAAACGGCACATTGCTCGTCTCTTTGAATATAATCACGACCTCAGACAGTCCCAAATGTTAAACCATCAGCCTGAGGGCGGATTATTTCCTGTTTGTGTCTTTAAACTCTTGACTTATCTGACCTCCGTCGGCTCCATCAGCGCTGCTCCATGAGGGGCTTTCGTCTGTAATAACCAGTGTGATGTTGCAGCTGTCACGCCGTCTCTGCAGGAGTGTGCGCCTGCTTGCTTGTACGTATTAATTTGTATATTCGTCCCCGCATGCCTGATGCCACACTCGGGCGGCACAGAGAGGCGCTTCTGTCGCACACAGTTCAGGCATTAAGTCCTTCCTGCTGCACTGCACCGCCATCTGTTTCCCAGCCCGCTCCCAGAGTCGACATGTGTTCAAGTGTCACAAACTGTTGCTCCTGCAGTCACAATGTCTCCCTGCTCTCCGCTCTGTGGAGGGAGAAGACGTGACAATACGCTCTGGATGTGAGCTGGATGAGTTCCTCTCAGCCGTCTGAACAAATGAGACACCTGTTCAAAGGTATCTGTTTACTCTAAGGAGGCAATATCTGCAGGTTTTCAACAATATCCCTGAACTACCACTCCTAATAAACACTCGGGTGACTATTTAAACAGCACTAGCTTGTTTTCTGACCGATAAACAAGAAATTCTGTTCACTTCATCCTGAGGGAAACTGAATTACTGTGTGCAACAGGTACCTGTATCGTTTTAGTCCAACGCAGACGACAAAAATGGACTTTTAAAGGGAAAGAATGTCGGTGTTTTAGGCCATTAATTCAAACCGTCTTCTATCTTACCTACACAGACTTAAATGTCGTGATTTAAAGATCTCAAATGTTTGTATTTGTGCTAGTGATGCACGATATGAAAAATTTCAACCGATACCGATAACCGATAATTTTCTTCTTCTCATGGCCGATACCGATACCGATAAATTCATATTTTTACATTTATTATAATCTTCATATAATCTGCAATTTGAGCAGGATGCAGTGATTGAAAACTGATGTTTTTGTTGCTCTGGCCTATCTAGAACAACAAACAAAAGTTTTTGGCTCTTCAAATGTGGTCATTTGCTATAAATAACAATAACAGAGCAAAAAGCAGAACTTCATTTGATCCCCTGAACTGTTCAACAGAACTGTAAACTGTAAAGGAGCTATTATGAGACGTTAGGCTTAGCATTCTGACCGGACTAACATCTGACGTCCATATGTCTGTGGTAAAACTCACGTGTAGTCCGTTCTTGTCGATCAGGTTGTGAATGTATGTGGCGACAATATCATAGAGTGCAGGAAGAGACACATCCGAGAAGAAGCGGCGGCTTGGGAGAGTGTAACGTGGCTCCAAGTGTGCTATGAACTTACGAAAACCCGGGTTCTCAACGACGGAAAAAGGCTGGTCGTCGACCGCTATGAACTCCATCACTTTGTCGTTAATGGCTTTAGCCTTTTCGCTGTCTCTTGAGAAGCTTTTGCAGTTTTTAAACGCCTGCTGAATGGGGACATCGATCCTCCGTAGTGTTGTTGTCTTAGCTTTAGTACCGCTAGCAGCTTTGGCAGCTGTCTCATAGTCTTTTACTACTGCTTCGCCGCGATGGCGACTTTTCAGATGAGCTATCAGATTCGTTGTGTAAAAACTTGACGTCTTCATTCCTCCTCTTGGAATCCTCGCTGAACAGGTTTTGCATATAGCAACGCTGTTGTCATCTTCTGCCACTGAGAGAAACGACCATGCTGGTGAAGACATTTTATTATCTGTCAGGTAGTGACGGGGTCAGGCTTGGGACCTGCGAGTAAGGCGCGATAGATGACGTAACCAGCGCGTCTCGGACGGGCGGCTACTCCGCCTGCAAACGTTACTCGTAATTTCATTAATATATCGGATCTTTCTATCGGAAAAATGCACCTATCGGACCGATAAAAAATGACGTAATTTCCCCCCAAATCGGCCGATATTTTATCGGTCCGATAAATATCGTGCATCCCTAGACAAAATATAATCTTGATTTATCTAAAAGCACGTTTTTCATGCAGGTTTTCACACTGAAATTTCAGCACCTGCAGTCATTTAGAAATGATTCAGTGTCTTCATCTTCAAACTCACTGGAAACTCTCCTCTTAAATTGCCACACAGCTGAAAAAGTTTCCTGTATTAGAAAAGAGTTTATTGCCGAGTGGGTTTCACATAAACATACTTCTGATTTATTCTATTCGTTGAGATAAACAGGAATATAGAAACCTTGATAGACGCACAAAGATGCCTACGTGTTGCTTTTAGAAGTCAGACTTTTTGATTCGTGCTGACTGTTTCACTTTCGCTGCACTGCCAGGAGGAACAGACTGAGTGAGAGGAAAAAGCTTTTCTCTCTTTTCAGCCGAGTAAGGTCACAAAGAAAGAAGTGGTTACTGCAGGATGAGCTGACAGCACCCGAGTCTCCCCTTCAAAGTCTTCATGCTGGTATCACTTCTGCAGTTCTGTATAGAAACACTTTTCTAGAACCAAAGCAGTTCAGTATTAAAGTCCTTGAGACGTTTTTGTGTCGTTTTCACGGCTCCTTAAACCACAGGTCCAATCCTCTTGGTCACCACAGGGGTCTAAATCTCTCGCCGATACAGCGCCAGAGCCACAGTTTACACACGACTGAGCTGCTCTGTGTTTCTGTGTTTACCACCTTTACAGAGCGCTGCATGTGCGTGTAATTTTAAAATGAGAGATTCACAGTCTGCTGATTTGTTACTGTTGTAATCTATTTAAAGTGTATAGTTATATTTAGTGTAGTCTTACCCCCAATTTCTACCGCATCCAGAGCAGCTACGATCGGCCGTAACCATTCAAGTTAACGTGTCAATTTCCACCGGCTTCTTTCCATTCCACTGCGGATCGCCAGACTCTACAGCTGATCGCAAGAGTTCTATTTTTTCAGAACGCCGGAGCATGCCGGATAAATGCGGCACAGATTAACCCTTCTTTTCAAATAATCGTATCGTATTTCACACCATGCAAACAGGCGGGGACAAACAAGTGAAAGGTTTATAGACGTCATTCACCCCAAAAACGGATCCGGTAGGAATTGGTGTACAGCGAAAATTGTAGCCATTTCGGATCTGAGCCATTCCGGATGCGTGGAAATCCCGGGTTAAAAACAGATCAAAATGTCTTTATTTGTGACATTTTTTATCATACATAGAATTTTTGTCTGAGAACTGAGAAAAGTCAGATTGCTTAGAGAAGTTTGAATTCTTAGATAAAAGTTGCAATTCAAAGAATTCTGTAAAAAAATATAGTTAATAGAACATTTTGATACATAAGCCAGAATCCCCCAACTCACGCACACCCATCCAAAAAGGACAGATAAAAATTAGAAACAAAAAAAAAAATAGACTTCTATTATAGACTTCTTAGGTAATAGTCACAATTTCAGAACAAAAAATAAAGTTCAAAGCAAAGGTTCGAATTCCGGAATTCAGCATCAGAATTATAAGAACAAAGCAACATTCCGGAACAGAAGTCAGAATTCTGATATAAAAGTCAAAACTCTAAGATTCAAAAAAGTAAGAATTCAAAGATAAAAAGTCGTGCTGTTGTGAAAAAGTCTTAATTTCCAGCTAAAAGACAACATTTACAGATCCAGGTAGAATGCTGGTTACAGTCAAAGCTCAAAGATAAAACATAAAAATTTGAGAAGTCAGAAGTTTTACCTGAAGGAAGAAACCTGAGGTGAAAGTTAGAACTTTGACATTAGATATAAACTGTAAGACAAAAGTGAGAAACATGAAGAAAAAAATGTTGAGAGAAAAGTCATAATTTTAAGAAAAATTCATAAAGTTGGACTCACGATAAGAGCATGAACTCTTCGATAAAGTTAGAATTAGTTCGATAAAGTTAAAATGTTAACTTAAAGTGAGATATTATGATTTAAGAGACAGATTTCTGAGAGGAAAGTTGGAATTCAGAGGAGAAAGGTCAGAATACCAGTTTTAAAAAGCCACTTATCCCAAGTAAAGCTATGTTTTATGAAATAATTGGAGAATCCGGATGTTTTAAACTCTGGGAGATCACTGAGTGTAAATTCCAAGAAGAGTTTTGGAGGTCTGGGACATGATCAGAAGAAAAGAAGACGTCTTAAATAAAGTCGGATTTCCAAGAAAAAAAAAGTCAAAATTTTCACACTGGAGTCAAAATGTATTAAAAAAGTAAAAACTCTGATGAAAAAAGTCTGAAAATGTTGAATTTTCTTATTATTATTTTTGGTGGCTGTAATGAAGAAGGATTGTTACCGCTGACAGTTTTCCGAGGTCTAGTTAGCAACATTAAATGAACAATCTGCTTTAATTCATTAAGTTTTATTTGAACGGCACCTTTAAAACATAAAGTCCGTCTGCTTTACTGAGATCCAATATTAATTCACCATGAGGGAGCACTTGGCAGCGGCGGCGAGGAAACTCCTCTTTTATAGGCAGAAACCTCGAGCAGATCCGGGTTTATTGGGGAGGAACCATCTGTCTCTGCTTGATCAGAGCGTGAGGCGGTAAAGTGACATTTGTCCTGATGATCTGCTGCTTCTTCACTTACCGCAGAAATCCTCCTCTCACATGTTTGATAACTATACGAAGGCTGGAGGGTGAAACCAGTCAGCTGCAGTGAGCGAGGCAGGCAGCAGAGGCTACGATCAAGTGTGTGCGTTTGTGTTTGTGTGTGTTTGTGTTTGTGTTTGTGTGCTCCTGCTGCCTCCTCTGGGAGTTTCCCTCCACACTCAGCAGTAATGAGCTGTGCAGGCAACATTTTGCTTATAGGCCCATAAACAACGCTCTTATTAAGATGGAAGCCGCCGCAGGCATCGGGGGCTAATTCGGATACATGAGCGTGGAGCGAGGGTCTTTGGAGGAGCGCGAGGAGGCGTGGGGGGGCGGGGCCTCAGTCAATCAGGTCGTGCACAGAGGGAGAGAGAGATGATAGACAGAGGAGGCTGAGGAGGATTTGTGCCCATATTCGGAGTACACAGAGAGAGAGAGAGAGGGAGAAAGAAGGAAGAAGAGGCTGAAGGACGCAGAGACAGAAAAAGAAAGAGTCAGGAGCAGACAGAGAGAGAGAGAGAGAGAGAGAGAGAGATTAAAATAGAGAGCGAGTGAGTCAGACGTGGAAAAAGAGAGACAGGAGGAAAGACTGAGTCACGTAGATAAAGAGAGGGAAAGTGAAACGTGTGGAGAAAGAGAGAGAGAGAAAACAGCGTGAATCAGACGAAAAGAAAGACCAACTTCATAACGCTGAGAGAGAAAGTAAAAAG